TCAATTAATATTAATGTATTTATTTGATTAATGATGAATTGTATAAACATTATCTATGACATTGAATGAGTAAAACGTAATCAAATTAAATTTAAAATATCATCATTTATTTTTGATTACTTAAGGTTTCTGCGATGTATTATTATCTATTATTAAAAACCGTTTTTTAACATTTTTTTTATATCAAGTTCAGTTTAATAAATCGATCAACAAACAAGTACTGAAAATTAAATAAGATTATCCAATAAGTTGCTCAATCAAATACTCCAATTCTTCCTAAATAAACGATAACTGCGAGAATAATTTATTCATATATTTCCTAATGTTGAGACAGTTTAGATTAAAAATATTTTTTACTTATATGAAATAGGATTTTACGAAAGTCACCTGAAGTTTCAATCAAATTTGTTGCATAAGTGTTTGATAAATGTTGGCAATATTCCATAGAAAAAAATATAAAATAGAACCGATTGCATTTTAAAGTGTAACTCTTTAGCAATGATACATAGTTTATTGTAGGTTGGTAGGTAGGAGCAGTGACGTAATATTCAGGAGTGTTGGGCTTGCAATTCACAGGGGCCATCCGTTTTGGGGACACCAAGATCTCATCTGGTAATACCTTTATCCCTTACTATATTCTTACTATAATTTGTAATATACACATATTGTATTAATTGTTTTAATATAGTAACAATAAATAATAATAATAAACAAGGATCCTAGTCCGGACATTTTCATATGGACTCCTTATTATCAAGCTACTGGTTAAGAGTGATTTGGATCACAAGCAGGGTCACGGAAATTGTATATATATAGGAAATTATAATATATAGGATTACATACAAGCATTTTGTATATAAATAAGAATTTTACTTTGTCTCTAAAACAACTAAAAAAAATGTCTCTTATATTGATTATTTAGGATGAAATAATGCAAACGTAGTTTTCGTCGGGATCTCGGTTCAAATATGGAAAAAAAAATATTAATTATTTAATTTATATCATACTGTTATTTTTACATTCATGTATAATGGTATGAGCTAGAAAAACTGTAGTAATATTTAGAATTAATATAGCAAATCGTTATTTATTTTGTTGACATGAGTTTAGAAACCTGCTTAATCTTCAGTTCTGTATATTCTGCCATGTAATAATTTACGAACATTGTTATTATTTTGCTATTGGTGTTAAAAATGATAAAATTTATGTTTTATTTTTATGGCTTTGATAAATTTTTTAGTTTCTAAGTTAAATGGGACTGATTATGAAGAGTTGAATTCAGGGCCGGCAAAAGCTATGGGCGACCCGAGCGAATGCCCGGGATGCCAAACTGAAAATTGTTTTCATCTTATTTATCTTTTAATACGCATTTACGATCTACATAAAGTAAGAATATAAAAGTTGTGCTTTCTAATGTTTAAATTAACAAGTTAAAGTTAATAGGTTCCTAATCAATATTCATATTTTTTGTTTAGTAAATTTCTACATAATATTTTGGTTCTTTATTAGTTATTTACATACAATGAACTCCGGCCCTGGTTGAATCGCTGTTTCATTTTCACCTGTTCTTTGCATTATCATGCTGTATTAAACAATGCTCGATTTGGAAAAATTAAAGAAGGGGAACTCTTTTTACTTTTAAAGAAAAAAGCGTCGCCAAAACTTCTCAAGTGTTATAATTATAACAAAATAATAGTAGGGGGACGCTAAAATTTCTGAAAATTAGTTGGGGTACTCCGTCCCCTTGCGTCCCTCCAAAAGTCGAACACTGGTATTAAAGAAAAAAAACAAACGCTTTTTATTCACATAGGTGTTACAGTAGTAATCACGCATTACGACAGTGAATTAATTATACAGGGACACGTGATTATTATATAAACATACATTGCATTTAAAAATAAATGTAAAGTAGTATCAGTCACTGTTTTGATTGATTTTGTTGAGCTATATCCTTTAGCAATCAATTTATTTTAATTTTAAATTGAAACATTTAAGTCTTATCTCGTTGTATCTACTTTTGCATAGTTAATTATACTTATTTGTGTTTTTTTTTTAATTTTATAACCATATAAAATAAATTATATTAGTACTTCTAGTATAATTTCAAGGATTATGAGTCATTTTAGATTCCTATTATTGCATTTTTTAGTGACTTTTTAAGACATCTTAATTTTGTTTATAAGGATATGGCTAATTAATTTGTTATAACTACAAATTAAAATAGATATGTACTTTGAAAAAATTGAGGTATATAACTTTATAAATATTACCTTGATTTTTTTTAAGAAAAAAAATGTTTTAATTATTCAATATTTCCTTGTTTATATCAGCTACCTGCCTATTATTATTTTTTACTAGATAATAATTTTACCAGTTTCAACAAATTCCAAATTGTTTCGTCTCTTTTTTTATCGATCTTATCTAAATTGTATCAATATCATAATTTAAAAAAAAAAGTACTATAAAACGAATAGTTACATACTATTATCTACTATTTTTAAGATATTTTATTCGATGATTTTTGATCAGACTGGTTTTAAATTAACGCATTTTATAAACAAATTAATACAAAACCACACCATATTTCATAAGTTCATAATATTCTTAATAAATATGTACATCGACTGACTATTACAATCAATTGTTACTGCTACTATAAATAACTATAATATTTTTTAAGTGGAATTCATTTATGAATGATTAATCATTGATTCAAATAATGAATCAGCAATAATTTGTTTTATATATTTTTCATTGCCGCTATCTATTTCACTATCTTATCAACTGGATGCAACCTTAATATAATATGAAATATAAATACAATATAAATATAAATTTATTTATCTAATAGGTTTGATGAGATTGTACATTTTATACAATATAAGTATGAAATCTACATACTCTGTGTTATTCCAATAATTAATGATCATTAATTTATTAAAAAGCCGTTTATAAAGTGATAATAATAATATTAAACACCTATATCAAAACAGTAACAACTCAAAAAAAACGCTTTTTTCTGGAATGTCGGTTTTGTTGGTGGTACCTTTGTATCATTCATTCAATAAAATGTACTTACATTGCAATCTGACGGAGAATATTAAAGATAAAGATAAACCTGTTTTGTTGATTTATGTAATTTAATTTGTAGAATTCGAATATACGTTTAACTAAAAAAACCAACTTTTTGAGTTGTTACTGTTTTGATATAGATGTACGATATAGTACATACCTATAATACCTATTACCTATTCTCGATATTCAGTGTCATTTAGTTTGTCATATAACTAATTCTTGGTAAAAATTTAGGTATTAAATGGTATGATATTAATTGTATAAATTAATTTAAATATAACTCATCATAACTCATAAATCAAAATATATAAATTGCACATAATATTTGTATTTTTTAGACTATAAGTACACATATAATTAAACCTTTACTAAATCATCATTCTTTTAAAATATTTGTATAAAATATTTGATTAAATTAATAAAATAAAACTCTTAATTATTGTAGCTTCTATTCAATTCTAAAACGTCTTTTCCTATTTAATTTTCGGGCATTTTCCACCTACAGTCGATCATAGTTGTTAATACAGCCATCGATAGAACACATTTTCATCGACAAATCAGCTGTTAAAGCTGTTCAGACATTTGTTGACATTTATTCATTTTTCGATCCTGATATTTTTGATCGTGGATATTCCAACGTGCATTATTTTTATTGAGTTTTTACCTAACATAACATATATAACTTTGAACCCTTCCTTGGAAGATTCTCGCGTGCATGCCTGAATTCTATAAGATAAAATATTATTTTAAATGAAATAAAATAAATTTTTAAAAAAATATTTCAAATATTATTTAAAAGTTAAATATTTGTTAAACAAATGTAATTCTATATCGATATAGTTCGTATTTATCCTCAATATTTATTTATATCTCTTCTGTTTCTTCTTCTTAACAACTTAGCGGACCATCAGGGTGGTCCAACCCGCTGCCCTCGATCCCTTTTTTTTTGCCCCCCCTCTCTCAGTTAAATTAATTATTTATTTTATTAATTAAAAATTAAAGTCACAGTATTATTTTAACAAAATCGTGATATGATCGTATACATTTTACATTTTATATTTATAGTTTATGGCATTTGTGCTATAAAACGTAGGAATACGACGGGAGTTCCCGTGATAAGACACGATGGACAGTGTGAATTCTATTCAAAATCGCGAGCACTAATAATATATAATAATGTGCGCATAATATAAAATTATAAAATAAAACATAAATTGACAAAATATAATTTTTTTTCTTTTGGCGGCTCCCCGTTTGTTTAAGAAAGTATAAATTGGCTCGCGAACCACAAAAGGTTGGACCACCCTGTTGTAGATCTATCGCTGCCACCACTATTCCATTCCATCGGCCCCTATCCTTCGCATCTTCTAGTTGCACATTTTCAGATTATTAAATTTTTTTTTTACTATGTCCTTCTACTTGGTTCAAGAACTTCCTATAGGCCTTTTTCCAATAATTCTTCCTTCTGTAACTCATTTTATAGTTTTTCTCTCTGCCCTCCAAACATGACCAGTCCATTATATCCTATTGCTTCTGCTATATGATAGTACTCGTATATTTGGTTTTCTTTTCTTTCTTACTTATATCTCACTTAAATATTATAAATTATTACCTATAATTTTACAAACTTTAAAAAGAATTCAAAATTAAGCTGAGTTATGTATCTATGTTATATGTATCCACGTATAACATATACATTTTACATAATTTTATTATTTTTTTTTTCGCGTATGATATAAGTAAAAATGAAAATAATATGCTAAAATATTCTAGTAATATTTATTTGTAATTTAATATTTAATTTAGTTTTTAATAACCAAAATTATATTGAAATTGTATATGATTTTTATTTTCGATGTTATATAAATGGGTAGGTATATTAATAATTAAATTATTATATTAATCCTACTAATATTTAATTACAGATGCGTGTACAACGTTATTAATACTAGGATTTATATTAAGTTTACTCCTCACAATATTCATATGGTTCACAGATTTATACACTAGTGAACTATATAAGGTAAAAGTTTTAAATATTTTAAGTTGAATACATTACCTTACAGTTTTAAACTATTTCCAATTTTACAGAGACTCACAATTGAAAATGGTAGTTTACTATATGATGCATGGAGAGAACCTCCAGTTAGGCCGTTAATGTGTGTTTATATTTTCAACTACACAAATTTCGCTGAATTCGTAGCTAACGATGGTAGTAATAATATAAAACTCAAAGTTCAAGAAGTTGGACCTTATTGTTACAGGTAAATATTCAAATATTTTGATTTTTTCATGGAGATATAATTTATTTTAATGCATTTTTAGGGAAACTTCATACAGGGTAAACATAACTGATCATAAAAATGGTTCTCAGACATTCAATGAAATGAAAATTCAAGAATTCGACTATAATTCGTCCAATGGTTCAGATTCAGATATTATTGTTGTACCAGACATTCCATACATTGTAAGCCTTTATACAATAATAAAAAGTTTATACCTAATGATTATTAGGTATAAATTATAAATTAGACATACAATTATAATTGTATATTTCGCTAATAATAATATGTACATAAACATACTATGTTTGTATTCGTGTGTATTAAGTAAATGCCATTTATTGAATGGATGTTACTTACGTTAGGATTCTCTTCGATATTCTCTTCGTGAAGTGTATCCATAATTTGTGTAGTAAAAAAATAATAAGATAAATGCAGTGATTTTATTTGAGATAGTTAATTAAATATAGCAGAAAATAAATTGAAATGGTTTAGAAATAGTGAAAAGGGAAATCTAGAAAAGAAATAGTTGAATTTGACTGAAAGTGTTGTAAGCACAATTAGTATGTATGAGAAAAATTTTTGCCTATGATTATCGATTTTAAATAGTTAAGAGACCCAGTGGCGAATTAAGGGGCAGGCTAAAAGGCTTATAGCTTAGAGCGGCTTTTTTGGGAGGGCGGCTTTTTTTTTATAGAATTAAGTGTTATTATTAACTTATTAGGTATATTTATTTTAATATATTTTTTTTATATTTGTCATATAAACACGAATAAAAATAATTTAAAAAAGTTATAATAATATATTAATATGTACATTGTATGATGCCTACCTTTAGACTATAGTAAGAATATTACAATTATTATTACAATTTGAAAATATTTCATTTGTAATAAAATAATTAGTTAGTTACTAGTTATTATTAATTACTTATTAGTACCTATGTACTTATTGGGAACATCCGACTATTCGAGTATAGGTATTTATTATATCTGACTATTTATATTTCCATTGTGTGACTGTATAAGCATTGTTTATTTGTACTGGTAATAATGGTATCTGAAGTAAAATACTCGTAATAGACATGAAATATTTTTTTATTTTTAGAAGTTTTCTATTTAAAAGATTTTATATTTTATATTTTTTTTGATAAAAAAACTGGATTAAATTTGAAAAGAAAGGTTTAGACCAAATATTGTTGGTTCCTAAGAAGAGTGATAGGGGGGGGGGGCAGAGTGATTAAGCCTAGGGGCTCCAAAACGCTAAATCCACCACTGAAGAGACCAAGTAAAATAAATAAAAAGTATAATGTGTAAATATTAATATTAAGTTATAAGCAGTGGCGTATATAGGGGAGGGGGGTTGGGGGTTCAACCCCCCCTCCTCCGAAATTTATGGTTAGTACGACCCACGTGTGCATTTCTTTAATCTATGTATTAATTAAAACCAAACTGTCTAGTATGGGAAAAAAATGCTCTCTCCTAATTTTTAAGCAAATTATACGCCCAATTCTTACCTATTGCTTGCCCGGTATGGGGTAATTGTCCATCCTCGCACATCAAAAAAATTCAAATTGTCCAAAACAAAGTCCTCAGAATAATTGCAAATGTTCCGTAGTTTGTCAGAAATCCAAATCTGCTATTGATACTTTGAATAAACTATCCGTTGATTTTTTTTCCAAATATATAGTGCTTAATGTCAATATTAGTAACTTAACCAGTCTCAACAGCGTCATCAGAAAGATCGTTTTCGATATTGAAAAGATTGAAGTCGTGCTTGAGAAATAGTACAAGCGAAAATCGACTAACAGGATTAGCTCTCATGTCAATTCATTGAAGTATTTCAATAAACACTGAAGAAGTGATAAATAATTTTGCAAATCTACCTCGAAAATTAGACTTTGTCCTGTAATTAAATTTATGTATTCTAATTTTCATAGTTATTTAAAATAAGTTAATTTATAACCTTCATTTAGTATATATTTTTTCATACCCCCCCCCCCCCCCCCGAATTAATTCCTATATACGCCACTGGTTATAAGTGTTGAGAATTAGTTTGTTATAATATTTTTCATAGAACGGAATATCTTTAATTATACTCATGCTCTTACCACTAAGTTTCTTCGTAATTTTAAATTAGTGTTAACATTTTTTTACGTACGTAATACTAAGTGCAATAATTGTGCATCAAGTTAAAAATATTTTAATATATTTATTTTTTATCATATTGTGTATGCTATTATTAAAGAGTTTTAAAAACTTATATTATTGTCATATATAACGAACTTTATATAGTTATTTATGAAATATTTCTCGCGAAACATTTAAAACTGTGTCTATGTAAGATGCACTAAATACTTATTTAATTTCAATTTTAGATTGCTATTGCTCTGACCAAAGACGAAAATTTTTTTATAAGGAAATCGGTATCATCATACTTGGATAATGCGTCTGAATACCCATTTGTCGTTGTCAGTGTTTATGATTTTTGTTTCGGTTACCAAAATGATATGACTAATGCAATAAACACATTAGCTAAAATAGGCAATAAGACACCTCCGTTCGAAAAATTTGGACTATTTGTGAAGGTGAATTAAGTATGAAAATATGGGGTGTTTAATGCGTTATCGTAATTAATTGAAATTTAATTGGTTATGGTTAAATTTTTCTAGCGAGTAGGAGTTAACCAAGACCGTTTGACTGTGTTTAACGGTCACGATAATTTAAATCAAATGGGTCAATTGATGCAATTAAATGGAAAATCATTACTACACCCGTGGAAAACTGATGAATGCAACACAGTTGGCGGAAGTGATGGCATGTTCTTTCCTAGATATGAAGTTCAAAATGGTCAAAACGTGAATTTATTTCATAAAGAATCCTGTAGGAAATTGCCAATGACTTTCCGCTCTAGGAAAAAAGTAAATTGTTAATGTTTAGATCACAAAAACTTGGAAATAAGCTATAATAATATTATTTTTTCTTTTTAGATTAAAAATGGAATAATTGGGCATCTTTATACCTTGGCGCATGATGCATTCAATAATTCTATTCCCGAAAACAGTTGTTACAACGTTGGTGCATCACCCATGCCTGATGGTGTATTTGATATGGGTGCATGTTCTTCTAGTAAGCTCTATTATTCCGGTCAAATGTTAACCTTATGATGTACCAGATTATACCATAATAATTACTGTTTATTAACTATTGTTTCATAGATTCACCGTTGTTGGTGTCACGTGCTCATTTTCTGTATTCTAATCCGTCCTTACTAAATGCTATTGAAGGCCTCAACCCAGATCCGAAAAAACATGAATTTCTCTGGATCATCGATCCTGTATGTTTGCATATTGTTTTTTTTTTTTACTATATATTATTTTCTAATACGACATATGGTATGTGTCTAGTTAATTGGAATAACAATAGAGACTGAAATGAGAATACAGCTCAATGTTCAAGTACGCAATCCAAACAATTATGGTACACTGTCAAAAATTCCAGATAACACTATATTGCCATTTACTTGGTTCGAAATAGTTAGTCTAATTGTTTTAACTTCAAGTAGTAACTTACGTTAATGTAATCGTTTTACTCTTTGCAGAAAACTGGCGAAATATCACCGAAGTTAGACATGTTGTTATTCAATTTAACCTACACTGTTCCCTGGTTGCAGATGTTCCTGATGTGTCTTAGTCTAGTTGGACTATTAGTCACTTCTTTTTTTCTTATGCGCATGTTAACTAAACGCTCAAATATTGTGATAATTTCTAATGAAATCCAACCAAAAGATAAGCCAATTGAGAAAATTCCTATTGTTTAATTCAATACAAATGTTTTATTGTTGATATTAGAGTTAAATCAATATTTTTATAGTGTAATTGTAAATAACTACCTACTTATGAATTTTAGTTAAATTTTTTAATAATTTTATTGTATAAAATATCACTTATTTTATGTCAAATTATAATCGATAACATTTTTATACATTATTCAAATAATATTAATATATATATATATTTTAAATTATATTTCATGTATAATAAATGTAGTGCGTGTTGTACTATAAATATTTCTAAAATATCAAAGAAATAGAAAAGTTTTCATGTTGGTATCGCTACCTTACATTATATGATCATTTTTTTCAAAAAACAATAATTTAACGCCACTTAAACATTCCTATTAAATTCGATATCTAGTACTCATACTTCAATTCTACGATCAAAATTGATGAATAACTACTATGATAATAAACATACATGTAGGTACCTACAATAATATTATAGCCATATATAGTTATTTATTTATTCATAAAATAATATTTGTACACTCCCTGCCATTAAAACATTTGTTATGTATAATTTTGCATTCTTTTATGTCTTATGTTTATACCAGATGTAAAGGGTTGCTACTTATTGAGAGTGTTGATTCTTCCTATACTAAAAGTAAACACTCAATTTATTTGTTTGCAGAATTGATGTATGACAACTTAAATTTTTATTGAAAACTAAGTTTCGATAAAAATGAAATAAATAAAATAATGATTAAAAAAGCTAATAAGATAGATTAGTTCTATTATTGTTGTATTAGTATAGTAGGTACTTGTATTGTATGTATAAATTATAAAACAATGATAAATCATCTCATTTGATATTGAGTAATAGTCAGTGTAATATTTAAGTACGATTTTCGTACGTTCTTTGTACATAGGTTATAAGGCAGGTTAGGTTAGGTTAGGTTATCTATTGAAAAATAAGATAAAGGTGAAAAGGCCGTCCAAGGGCCAAAATTGACCATCATCAACACTAACAACAGGGCCAAGGAAACACTCCTCGCTCTCAGCGAGTCCGGGAAGAGGAGGAAAAAGAAGAAGAAGTAACCGGCTGAGCCCAGACAGAAAAACGTCCCGGGTCGTCTACAAGGGGTGATAATTGCCAAATCTTCTGGCAATAGGTTCTACTAAAGTAAAGCAACTGAATATAGTCGATAGCTGCAAAAATGCTGAAAATTGCGGCAGAGGCCGGTGCGGGGTGTGATACGGTGTTCCGTAAGACGGCAAAACCACTCACATTAAAGATTCGCGAAATCAGCATGAAAGACCTGGAAAAGGAAGTCATCAAAAGCGTTTTTCAAAGACGAAATTAAAGTAAAGCTGGTGAAGAGGATAACTCTGCCTGACGATGGTACTCAGAGACAGATTTAACATTGGTACGACTATAGGCACTAGCAATTTCCCAACCAATCATTAAATATATTAGTATTTTAATTCATTTGAATTTCTAGATGATTTTTTTTCGCTTTTAGTCATGTAGCCTTCTTTGAAAAAATTTCAGTGGGTGTCCACCAAATTTAAATGTAAACGTACAATGATAATTTTTATGAACTACCATTACTTAAATCATTTTTTTTGGATAATAATGTTAAAAATGTTGAACATTAAGTAAATATTACATCAATTTTTGTAAATATAAAGTAAGGAATTTCTATTATTTTTTTCTCATACAAATGATTTTGACAATCAGAAAGCGGTGGTTAGTATCTCTAGCAACCTTGGCCACAAAGCTCATCTGCAGAAACTGAGTATTGAGTCGTTATATATACTGAGTTCTTCAGAAAAGACCTGTAGTGTTTCAGACGCCACAATGTACTATTGTACCGCTAGTATGCGGCAGCCTGCAAAAGTACAGATAAAGGTGGATTGTGGATTGTGTATTTCCTGTGGAGACAACCATATGACCAGACTGCCAGAAGAAGGCCCATTGTGTCCTCTGCCAATTGGATACCTCTAGTTTCTCTAAATTATTTTTATTATTAATAATAATAATAATAAAACTATATTTTATTATTATCTTTTACAAGTTATTGATAATTTAATTTAATTTTCTTGGTAAAATAAAATACAGTACATTTAAGTAATTAAAACATTAAATAATATACTATTACTTATTCATAGCACATTGGTTTTCAAATAAGTGTTGATACCCACTTATATATTATAAAGTTAAAATATTATTATACAAATATATATTGTCTCTTGGGTTTTCAGACGATAATAAATCAAAGAAGCTAAAAGTTCTATAATCAAGAATTCTACTGGACTCATTAATATAACTTTCATATTGTATCTAGTGTACCATTTGGTACCTTAAAAATTAAGATATCATTAAAAATTTTCTAAATTATGTTGAGTTTTGCAATTGAAATTATCACAGTAAAATCATATATATATAATTACAAATTATCTAACGTAAAATCAATGGTAAAACTTTCAAGCTCATGTATATTACCTTGTGAAGTGCAATTTATGCAAATTGGATCTGATTTTTTTAATTTTACTTCAACATCTATCAATAAATGATTACCAGGGCAGCACACTGATTGGGTGTCATAATTTAAACAAAAGAAAATAGCAAACTTATTTCAAAATCATATATTTGCTTCAAGCATTAAAATCAAAAATAATACAATAAAATTTATTAAGAATATTTGACAGACTATGTTTAACTAATAACAAAATCTAATCTTGAAAAAATAAACTAAATATGGCCAATGATTCTAAAATTATTAATTAGCTAAGAATACACATATCAACCAAACAGGTTTTAATTAAATAAATATATTTTTTATTTTTTATTTTTACTTACATATAAAAAGAAATAATTTAAAATAAATTAGGTAGGTGTTAAAAATATTTTATCACAGGTAAAACTATCAACTAAAAAAGTTATATAGTACACAAAAATATCAACGAAGAAAAACATTGACAAATAAATGTTATTAAATTAAGTACATAAAAAGCATATTTAAGAAATAATCACTAATTTTAAATAATTAGATTGATAAAAAAATAAACTATCAAGTCTGCTTGCCTGGATTAAAATAATACAAAAAAAACAAGCATTGTAGTAAATATTGAATCAATTACAAAAAAATAATAAACATTTACACTAGATTGAAGATGATACTTAATAGTGAGAACAAATTAAATAATATAGATCTAATTAAACGTAATAAATATATGAATACTTTTTATAGTGCGTTTAATAAAATTATATAATTAAAATAGGAATGTAATGATAAATATATATATTTTTTTAACTATTTATCTTACCTTCTGTGATAGGGACTGTAAATTATATTATTTTAATATTTACAATTAATATGATACTGGTTAATGTTTAAGTGTAATGATTTAGTGTTTAAAATAAACAATATATCTATAACACTTATAAAACTCTGCATTTAGATTATTCAATAGCTTTTAAAATCAAAGATTAAAAAAATATGATCTTATGAAGAAATTGATGAATGTATTACTATTATTTTAACTGACAAATATAATTGTTGAAATTTATAAACAATGATATTAAAATAAATTATAATCCACTAAAATTTCTAAAAATGTACATTCTTTAAGAACATATATTTATTATTTATTTACTATACATATTTTTATATCAAATACTAGTTTAAATTATTAAATTAATACAATATGAAGCTATGTTTAGTTAAAAATTTGCTAAAGCAATTTATTATAATTAAAATTGATAAATTAACATATTCCTTTAATAATTTAAACATAACACTATTTTATAATAGTGTAAAATTATGTTTTAAATTTATGTACCAATAATTAAATCGCTCTGATCATTGACTAGAAAATGGTACACAAAATTGGTCTTCTTCCTGGACATTGAAGTTTTTGTATGGCTAGACTTATCTGAACGGGACCTAGGAGGGTCTCGGATGAATATTTCTCCAAAAACAGATGCTAAAAAAAACCAATAAAATGTATTGGATAAAGAATAATTTTTTTCTTGCATTGAATGAAAGCAACTAACCAATAGTTTTTACATCCAAATTATTATCATTGACATGACTCAATAGTTCTTGAAGAAATGCACAAAGGTATAAAAATACATTTTTACTTCGTTCGGGTAGTTGAGAAATAATCTGAAGAACAAAAAAATTATATTACTAAAATCAAATTAATTTTTTTAAACTTCACTTACTTGTTTACATTGACTATAATTGGAGACTGCAGATAAACAGGCTGCATGCAAATTGTATGGTATTATAGGTTCTGATGTACTATCCAACAGTATTAATAAAGCTTCAGCTACAGAGTGCACACTTCCAGCTGAAAGAGTTTAAAACGTTAAAATGTATAAAAAAATGTTTATATATGAATAACTAAATTTGAACAATACGCAATGCATCTGGAGTTCCATTATCCAACCAATTACGAATTTGGATGAATTCCACCCTGAGACCAGATTGTTCAAATAAATGTTCTTGTTTAAGACCATGCCTGTATAAATGATCAACAAGATACCACACTTCTTTTGGTACAGGGTAAGGATCTGATATCAAGTTACTTTTATTATTTTCCTTCAAAAAAATAATACTTTTAAACATCTAACATATTAAAAAATTACATAACTGGTGATCAGGGCAGTAAAAGAGGTGGTTTGAGGAGGTAGTAGCCCTCTTAAAATATTTAGGGGGCGGCAATATTTTTGTGGTGATTCTAAACAAACCAAATAGATTTTTTTGTATTCTTAATGGAAAATGATTTTGAATAAATAAAATTATATAAAATATAAATGTTATAATATTAAATCATTTATATTATTTAGTAGTGTACAAATTTTTTTTTCTATTTAAGAGTGTTTTATTTGATATGGTACTATATTTATTTATATTTGTAAAGGGATGGGAAATTCAGACCAAAGGTACTAAATTATTTAAGAGTACAATATTAGTTTTATAAAAGACAATTTTCTATAACTTTATTTATGTAATTATAACTCAATTATTATTTAGGATTTGATATTCATTACAAATATTGAGTAATAGTGTACTAAAATGGGAAAATTAATTACGAGCTGTTTTTTAATAAATAGTTGGCAACATTTGATTTCGGTTTTACACTTCAGAGAAGAGGAGCAGCAAAATGTTGTTGCTCCTAGATGGAGAAATCTTAAATACGGACTTGCTGGTGATCAAAATGTTACAAATACTTACTAGTTCCATAAGTTTCCCAATTGGAATATCTCTGATAGGAACTTTCAAATAACAAAGTGTTTCTAATGAACAGCCAAAACAACTACGCTCATATGTACCTAAAAGTAAAATTCATTAATAAATAAAAATTTATCAATACAAATATTATTTACCTGTAACAGTAATAAAAATATCTTTACCGCCATCTAAGTGTAATACTAAAATATCGTACAATTTATCTTGGCCACTATTCATTTTGTATGCTGATCTTTTATCTACCAAAACTTCTAATGTAATATCACATTTTTCACCTTATAAAATATCATACATGTATTATATTATAATTTGTATGCATAGTTTATTATTTTTATGATCTACCTGGATCAATAAAGCTCATAAAAGGTTCAATCCGCAACCATTCTTTACAATAAGTTGAATCATCTAATTTTTTTATAAATTCAAATTGAACAGGTACTTGACCAGTATTTGCAACTGTTAATTCTTTCATTTGAGGTTCCATAAACTGTACCATATTGAATATAATTTCAGTGTTATCAACCATAACTTGAGGTAAATATTCATTTTCTGCTTTGTCTAATTTTTTCATTATATTTTCATGAATTTTTCTATACTTGATTGTATCAACAACTTTTACCTAATAATAATAAAATTACAATCTAATTCATTATTACACAGAATAAATAAATTCTTACTTCAGATTCAAATAAAGCGCTCACTGGTTTATGATCAGATATCATTAAATTAGGATGACTTCTATAAGCAAGTTGTTTAATGGAATTCCCTCGCCACAATATTCGGTCACACCATGCCGGAGCACGGTTCTTTTCACTAATCAAAAATACATAAGTATACTAGATTTTTTTTTAAATTAAAAAATTATTTTTTATATTGATATATTTTTATTTTTTTATATATTTTATATTTAATAAACATACCTGCTATCCCAATCATTGGTACCTGGATCATATTTATAAGTTGGAATGAAATTTATTGAACCCTCCTTATAACCTTTAAAAACATTCCCAGCTCGATGTTGTTGCTTTAATTGATCTGCTTCTAGTACGGTTTTAAAATTATTTTTGCTAACTAAGTCTTTTACAGATATAGGATCCATTTCAGTAATTCTATAATTGAGATCCCCAAACCAATATACTTGACTAGAATAAAAATAATTAATTAATAGATTTATATCATATAGCAACTTAAAATATTTTTAAACATTAAATGAATAATACATCTCAGTATATCTCTAATAATTAAGGATAATAAGATTTTTTGGAACTTTTATTATTTCAAATTAAATCTAATAAAAAAAAAAACTAAGCTTTAAGTCATATATTTGTTTTTTATATTAGTTGGAAAAATTTGTTGTAAAAAAGTTTTATCATATACATATAGTTTATTACTTACTTATGATCTTTAATAGTTTTTGGAGGAGTAAAATTTGAAAAAACCATTCTGGAACATATATTATAATAGTCTTGGTTACGTCTTTCAAATTCTTCAACGTGGGCTGCTAAATGAGAATTAACAAAGCATAAAGATGTATTATGAAAATCCATGCGAACAGCAACTCCTCCTTTATTTCCCTAAAGATATGATTGATCATACTATTAATGATATAAAATATAATATTATAATAAACAAATTACCAATTTCCCCATGATTCCAGTACCAACAGTATCAGTTGCAACATTTTTCACATGTTCCATGTGTTTCTTTTTCACGAACACTATAAGCATCATACCTACAAGCCGAACTAATGATACTTTTCGATAATGTCCAATAGAATTAAGACTTTTTGTAACAGCTTGTCTAATAATAATAAAATTGTGTAAAATCATTTGTATTTGTATATAATCTATTCATGAATAAGATTAGAAATGTAATTAAAATTTTTTTTTTTTAAATCAATTGGAAATACATTTAATTAAATATTATAAATAGGCAATTCAATGCTGATTGGATTATGTAATGTGTTTCAAATAATTGTAATAATCTTTTAATGTTAATAAGTGTAAATATATAACTTAAATTATTATTAATTCACAGTAAAGTTTTATTAATAATTTAGAGTTAATAATCAACAGAAAAATGTAATTATAATAGCTGAAAATATATACAATAACTTATAAAATATAATGTAAATCAATAAAATTGATTTAATTATTATTAAAAACAGTTAAAATAAATGTGTAAAATGAATATCAATAGAACAGCAGTTCCCAAATTTTTTTTGGACCAATTTTAGCCAAAGTGCCCTGCTATGAATAATGTGAGAGAAAGAACAAAACAAAAATATTCATAGATAACCAATATTATAAATTTTATTAAAATTTAACTTAATTATGGACTAATTAATGGATTAAAAAATAAATAAATAAAAATTATTGTTATTATGATCATAATTATTACATTAAAATATTATAAGGTTAAAATTTGAATGTCTGAATATACGATAGAAAATATTACATTATTCGCTATAAAGTTTTTACGAGAATAAAAAGGAAAAAATATTCTTTACATTTTAAACTATTTGTTATGAACTGTAAGCCACAGTGCTATTAGAAAGTGCTCGCGGTGCACGGTTTGAGAACAGCTGCAATAGAATATTTGTATAAATTTGCACATTTCAACTTTTGGAATATTTTAAAATTGGTTTATTTACAACCAAGATAGATTATAGACTATAATCTACCATGATTACAACTAATAATAATCAAATACAATAGAAAGAATTTTACATCAAAAAGTGCATTAGTAAAAACAAAATCTGATCATTTTGAATAGTATCATAAATTTGATTTAAATAATTTCAAAAGTATTTTAAAATTATCAATTGTTACTATCCAAGTAATGAAGATATAATTATTGATATGAAATATATCTGAATTAATGAAAATAGTTAATTTATATCTTTTATATGACTCCTAAAGATAAAGATTACGTATATTAATATTTTAATTACAATTTTATGTTACGGAAAAAAATGTATAAAAAAAATAGTTTATTATATAATATTTATAATAATATATATACAGAGTTTATTCTATTGAACATTTTGATATTTCACTTTTATTTTTTTCATTCCCCTCAAAATGTATAGTATGTTTTTAGTTAAAGGAAAAATTGTGTAGTATTAAAAATAAAATTGAAATAATTTGTACTGTCTTATGCATTATTTCCTAATTAGTGTTCCCTATATTTTTTATTACTTAATAAACTATTATCAAAAAATTAAAAAAAAAAAAAAAAATAGTATCAAAAATCACAAAATTAATGGAAATAAAAAGTTGAATAATCAACATTTTCAGAATAAACTAAATAAAATTACAATCATCAAATTTTTCAAAAATATTCACTTAAAAAAAAAATGACTTAAATAATTTCAAAATTTTAAAATTATATTATAATATAAATATTTATGGTCATTATCCTTGTACATCATACAAAAAATTAGAATTGGGTTATCTTTGTTATCTACAGATATATTGTGATGAGTAAATATTTATTGGGCACTCTGTTTAATATGCCTTACAATACTATTATTATAAATGATATGAAGTAAATGATGTTTTCATCTTTAGTAAATACATTATAATCTATACATATTATATAATATATATTATAGCAGTTAAATTACTTACAGCCATTCTTCTTCTCGTGGGGAATCATTAAAGAGAAATGCTTCTTTACTCAGATCAAGTTCTTGAAATCCAATAGCATAAATATCAGGAGGTTCAGAATCAGAAGTCAACCAATCATTAAGTGAAGACAAGGTTGGTTGGCCATTGACATTCCAGGTGCCAATATAAATACTGAAGATGAATAAAAATTAATATTTTATTAATTTTTTTTATAAATAAATTCTTACCTGAAATTTTTGGCGTTAGTATACTGTTCTTCACTTAATAACATTTGTCTCTGTATTACACTTTCTCGAGAACTAAGTGTATGTGTACCACTTGGAAATGACAAATCATTTTCAGATACAGCCATCTAAAATTATAATACATACTTGATTATCAGCTTTGAAAAAATTGAAAATATTACATTAACTGTGGTTTTTAAATTATTAGTTGCAATATCTCCATTATTGATAGTCATCATCAAACCTAATTCTAAGTCAATATCATTAATACTATATTTCTTCAGCCAATTAAAATCCAGTTTTTGTTGATTTTTTAAATAAACTATAGTTAAAAAAAAAAAAAAAATAATAGTTTTAGCAATTTATAGAGTTTCACTGTAGATATATTTATATGAAAATACTTACGGTCCATGGATTTAGATAATTCAGTAAAGAAATGATTTGTCTCACTACCAGAATTCATTCCCATAAATAATTTAAAATTTCGAGCTGATATATTAATATAAATATCAGAACTCGATTCAGCTGACAATGAATCTAAACAATATGTAATATTGCATTATACCTCTTGATTGTAAATATTATAGTAGTAATGTAATATTTATTTAGCATACAAATATTCAAATTGTTTTTCATTTTTACAAGCAATATATAAAACAATAAAAATTTAAAGATCATAGAAAAATTTTAAAGAACGATTAATATGCAAGGTATATGAATATAATTTACTACCAATATCACATTTAAAGTCGCTATCAATGGGCACAACAAAGTTGATAGTGAGATCTGTAAATGCTTGTGGTGGATTTCTTGATGTAGTAAAGACGAATAAACCGTATGACGAATTTCGCTCTACCAATGCTAATAACCGATGGGCTTTAGGTGACCAGCCTTGCAATAGCACACCTTCATGAAGCTAAACATCATAGACAATATTAATACCACAGTAGAGTGCGAAGGACATAACAGTAAAACTCTGATAATAATTACCGCTACAACGTTGTCGCCAGCGTTCAATTTGTCCTTCAATATTGCCGTCAGTTCCATTGCACTAAGTAAAAGCTTTATACGGATTTATTAACGAAAATAATTATGCGATATTTTAGGTCTAAAAATGTAAAACATAATCACGTAAGAATTTCATCACTTAAAATTGATTAAAATATTTAAAAACAATACATCTACCTCTTTTAAAAACTTAGAGGATCCAAAAGAGTAACTTAGAATTAGAAAATAATATTATTAAAATCGAATAATGAAAATATTAGTGGGACACAAATTATTATTATTATTATTAATATTATTATTATTACTGCGTATTTGATAAACAGCCACCGGACTGTGATAGCACGACTGCCGCGGAGTTTTGGGATTTTCTATTAGAGCATTAACCATTTCCTCCCGAGTGATAAGAATGATGATGATAAGATTAAAAACTTAAAGATACCAATTGTTTGGAATTCAAATTATTACTAAACAATTTACCAGTTCTAATTTTATGTATTTTTAACGGGTTTTCGTCGTTTTCTTGCGTCTGTTCGTAGCATCGTTTGGGTAGTTATATTCTTCCGTAATAACTTATTAATATACTTTAATGTCCCTATAGATGTCGGCATGCTTTGATTTACCAATTCATGAGCCAAGAATAATTTACAATTTTAGGCCCCTTTTTTGTATTTCAATGTTAAAATAAAAATTTCCCGTGCATAAGAATAGTACAATTTTTCTGAGTATTTAATTAATATTTATAATAAAGTATACAAATTAAAAAACCAACATTTAAAAGAAAAAAATCATAGTTCACTGAACGATTTCATTACAGAGAACGATGAACGAATGAACTAGATCAGTGTTTCTCAATCTTTTTAGGACCGCGACCCAAATTTTCTTCCAAAAATCTATCACGACCATAGTTTTACATTTACAGAATCAATAAAATAATTTCAAAAAACAAATGTTTTCTATTTTATTACTTATAATAATAATAATAATAATATAATATAATATATATAATATAATACTTAATTAATAATTAGGCGTATGTGATGATTGTGCTTGTTTCTTACAATCTGTATAATTAAAAAAACTTCTAGCGACCCCCCAAAAATTGACTCGCGACCCCCTAGGGAGTCGCTACCCACAGTTTGAGAAACGCTGAACTAGATCATCGAAAAGAACGAGACTTGACATCACTATTACTGAGTATTGGCAGACAAAATAATACTGTGAAAGAATGAAATAAAAATAAAATTGTCTTCAGAGCTAAAATAAAATGGGTTCCAGAATAAAATAAGCGGAATAACGCTATTGAGTATCGCCTTATCGGCATTACTGCAGACGAATTCATAACATGAATTCGTCTGCAATAATGAATATATGAATTTCATATAGATAAAACTGATTTAGAATAAATAATGTATCAGCGCATTTTGTTTTATAAATAACATTTTTATCCCCTACATGCTTAGCTTTTTATTTATCCCTGAAAAAAAAATGAGGTTATAGTAAAAGACGTCAGGATCACGAAAAAAATAATTAAAAAAATATTTGAGTCAAACTTCCCCTTAAAGTTGATTAAAGTTTAATTTGTGCCAAATATGGCACTATATGCACCAAAAGTTTGTGCCATATTTGGCCATTATGCATTAAAGTAAAAATGTTTATTTGTGCCATTTCTGGCCACCATGTACTCAATATATGCTTTATGATACTCATGCGTAAGTCGAATATTAAGTGTGGTATTCGTTTTATGTAAACAATGGTATCCAGTGGCTTATTTTCAATTTTTTCTAGGGGGGGGTCCACAGTTTATACATAATTAATATAAACTATATATTATATTGTGATAGTTACGTCCTTATGCCGTTTTTTGGAGGAAGTTGAACTAAATATATAATGTAATAATCGTATAGTCTTATGTAATATTATATATATCTGTATATATAAAACAGTAAGCTGATTGACTGCTATCAACGCACAGCTCAAACCATTGGACGGATCTGGCTGAAATTTGGCATACAGATAGCTATTATGATGTAGACGTGCGCTAAGAAAGGATTTTTCGAAATTTTGAATTTAAAGGGTTGAAATCGGTAAAAGAAAATTTTTACAAGTAATTTGTATTATTAAACCTAACTAACCTAACCTAAAGGTCCTAAGTCGGCGTTAACGCGTTTTCGGCCGATAGAGCCGCGGTAGCACCGTTGTCGTTTATTGTGATTATCCTACATATTATATTTATAGCTGCGTGTGACGAAAACGTTTGCTTATATAAAATGTATGCCTACGTGCTGTAAATTATATGTACTTGGCCGCTTTGTCGTTGTCGTTGTCGTAGCGATAGCCTAGTAAAAGGACCAGTAAACGGTTTCGGTATACAAGTGTAATATAAAACAGCTTACTGCCGGATTAGTTTTTTAGATTTTTCCGTGTTCGGTTTTTGTTGTTAGGAGGATTAATTTAACGTTGTTTAATTTAATTACCTAAGAAATGGCTAAAGAAAGTCTTTTAGTTAATGGAGAACTTGAACAACATACTGTTGTCCCCATTGTTGGCGATGGTGCCTGTTTATTCCGAGCTCTTTCTTTTTTAATACACGGAACACAAGACAATGCGATGGAGGTGCGATCACTAATTGTTGGACATGTGGTGAATGACTGGACCAAGTTTTCATTTATGTCCCACAATAGAAATGGTGATAATTACTCAACGGCCAATGAATATTATGCTGATATGATAAAAAATGAAACTTATGGTGGGCTTTGTGGGTTTATAGCAGCGGGATGTATATTTTCATTTAATTTTAAAGTTTAACGAAATGGTATCTTATACACGGAGTCCGGGTCTAATGATTGTCCAGTAAAGCTTTTACGATTTGGACAAGATTTGCCCGATGGACATTTTGATGCTTATCTTCTTATTGCGACAGAAAACAATACTCAGAGTCGTATTGAGAAACTGGTCGATGAACGCGAACATTCACCTATTGCATCTTCAGTACACAGTAACATTTCTGCAAACATTTCACTATCCCAATCAAGTGAAACAGATCAATCTATTTCGTCCTGTCGAAAACGAAGGGCTAGATTTACTAATTACACAAGAAAAAAATAAATAAAAAAAGCACAAAAAAAATATAGACAGAATCAAACTGAATCTTGGTATAAGGAAAATACTACTATGCGTCTATGGAAAAGCAAGGTGCATTCAGGTATGACATATGATCCAGATATTGCATATAGAACTGACACCTGTGTAGCTTTGGGTTCTATGACCTATAAGTGTCAGTGGTGCAACGCTTTGAAGTGGAAAGATGAGACACTTGGTATGTGTTGTAGCGCCGGAAAAGTACAACTTGAGAGGTTAAAACAACTACCTGAACCTTTCTACAGTTTGGTTAACGCTCTGCACCCAGATCATGTGCAATTCATGAACAATATTAGAAAATATAACGCCTGTTTTCAGATGACGTCATTTGGTGGTAAACAGGTAATAGCAGACGGTTTCTTACCGACTTTTAAAGTTAAAGGACAAGTCTACCATTTAATTGGAAGTTTATTACCTGAACCCGGACAGGGCGCACAGTACCTTCAAATCTATTTTGTCGGTGAAGACGAACGAGAAGTAAATATTCGGTGTTCTAAAGATCCTAACTTAAAACCCAATTTAATCAAATAACTGCAGGATATGCTACATCAAGTGAATCCATATATAAAAGATCTGAAAAGTGCCATCGATAAAATACCTCCTTCAGAGTCATTTAAAGTTGTAATACATGCAGATAAAAAACCACCAGAAGAACATAGAGGCAGGTATAATGCACCAACGGCAAATGAAGTTGCTTTAGTGTTAGTAGATCAGCAGTTTGATGGGCTTTTATTTGAACACGAGAATGACATTTGCATGTAAAAGATATAACAATCAAATATCACACAAAAAAAAATAGTCAAAAAAGGTTGAAGAAAATATCAAGATTGATTTAGATAAAAACTATTGTTGTTAACATTTCTTATTAATAAATTATATGAATTAAAAGGTACACATATAATTTTTAGGTTCATCACTATTGAAAATCGAAAATATTAATAAATAAAGCTTAAATAATATATAATTTGCAATACAAAACCATAGTAATGAGCGTAATAATGAGCCTTCATCGGGTAGACAGCGCTCCCGGTGGCAGTTACAAGTGGTGTAATTTTTTCGGCCCGCTATCATAATGGTATTAGATAGGAAGTGTTGTCATCTCTATTTATCCACCTTGGTTTATTTAAAATATTTCTTATCAACGGTTTTGCCAACGTATTTTCCCGGTTGTCATTGAGTTGGTTCGTCGAACCATTGATTATAGAATATTCTATAATCAATGGTCGAACTTTATAAGCTGTTCCCGCTTTTATTTCATTGTCACTAGAAACGTTTGGGACGTTAGGGTTGTTTATGATAACTAGTCATTGTAATTAGTCGCTTAACTAATCATTCTTCATCCGTCTTCTTCGTTCTTGTGCTATTCATATCGATTGACTATTTCGGCGAGCTGTGTCGCACGACTGGTACTCGAAGTACTTCGGCATTAGTCGACACATGATGTCGTCCGGTTTATTAAGATTCAATGCGTGATTGTTCGTAGATTGTAGTTCAGTAGTTAATGTGTAGTCCACTGTCCGGCAGATCTCTGACGAAATCATTTTTCCGGTAAAAAACTATTCGTTTAATGGGTCGACATGTATTTATTTAAATTATACTTTGGTTTTTATTTACCGAAAAGATAAAATTAAAAGATAATTTAAAAGATAAAATTTTATTCTATTTAGTGTAGGATCAGACTAAACATAGACACTCGTACATGTTTATGATCATACTTCAGTTGTTATTTTTCTTTTTGCCATTTTAGTATAAATCAAATATTAAATTTATAATGTTAATTTTTTATTAGGAACTATATGCATTTTGTATTTTAGTATTGTTTTTCAATTTTTCATCTATTGATTCTTAAATTTTTTTGTTTGAATAAATTTGATTCAAAATATTGTGTAAACTATAGTATATTAAAACTACCTATCTAATTTTATGGTATATCTTGTATTGTATGTTTTTTAAATTAAAAATATAGACTAAAATTAATTATGTTTTGGTTACAGAATTTTTTAACATGAACAAGCAAATAATTAAAAAACCTTTCCGTGTAGCAATAGAAGGAAATGTTGGATCTGGCAAATCAACTTTAATTAAGCATTTTGGAAATTATATGAATGTTGAAACAAATCCAGTAATTTTATATTTTTAAATTTTTATCCTCCTTTTGTATTTATTTTGATATTGTAATATATAAATGCAACATATTATATATATTTATATCGTGTATCTACTACAAATGTATTAATTTTTGGTTTTTAACCTTACATTTTTTCTTATATATATATAAAAGTTTTTAATTATCTATGGACATAATTAATTTTTTTTTTTTTTAGGAACCAATAGAAATGTGGCGAGATTTAAATGGTCATAATTTACTTCAATTGGCATATTCTGATCCTCACAGATGGAATTTCGCTTTTCAGCATAATGTACAATTAAGTCGTTTAAAATTACAATCTAAACCAACTAATAAAGATATTCAATTATTTGAACGTTCTTTGCAAAATAATAGGTAATATTAATGTTACAATACAATTATTATTTTTGAAACTAAGTTATATTTTTTATTATTTAATTTTATCATTTCAATATATATTATAATATACTTAGTTCAAACTTTTTTACTGAATATTTAATGTCTTACTACCTTAATAATATCAGGATAAATATAAGTAAATATCTTTAAATTATAATAAAATATTATATATCAATACAATAATAGCAATAATGTAATAGAAATATCAAATTAATATTTTTCTTGATTTTTAATTTTAATCAAATTATGTATACTTATTCATTGATTTTTAAATGAAAAATAGTTTAATAATTTGCCATTTATGTTTAATTTGAAATACATTAATTAAATATTTACTCATTCAATCTTATAGATAATAATTTAAATATAATTAATAGTGTAAATACAAAGAACTATTAGATATAGGTTAACCAATTCAACTTTTTTTAAATCTTAATTTTTATTAAAATATATAAAATAAGTATAACAATTTTTTTCCTTTAAAAATATTTATTTATAAATTTATTTTTCATTCTATTATTTAGTATAAGTATTTATAAATTAAAAATATAATTTGAGTTTATTGATTTTTTTTTATTTAATAGTAAGTTATTATTTTTTATGTTTATTAAATACACACAGAAATTATTATATATTTTTTATAGGTATTGCTTTGTGGAAATGGCTCATGACAAAGGTTTATTATCTAGTCCTGAGTACGGTGTAATGTGTCAGTGGTTTGAATATATTGAAAAGAATGTAGACATTGGTTTGGATCTAATTGGTAAATATTAACTTCTATACATTTATTTTGTTATTTGTTTTCCACATTCCTCTCCCTGAAAATATCATATAACTGTATCCTTATAGGTTTGTTATCTTTAACTTCCAAAAATGTAATTGGAATAAAATTATCTTCTATTATTTAAACCTAATTATTTTATTTATATAGTTATTATTATATAAAGTAAATTATTGCATTTTTTTAGTAGATTTAATTACCTATTTTATTTTACAGTTTTTTTTTTTTTTAAATAAAAGTTTAAAAGTTTATGTTTCAAAAATGAAATTACATAAATTATATTTAAAACTTTGATCAATTGTGATGACTATTCAAAAATTAAAATTTATTCTAGGTTTAGTGTGCTTCTAAATAATTGTATATACATCATTTTATTACAATTTTATAATGGAGCACAAAAGGTCTGGAGTTTTTTTTTTACTTAATTTAAAAAAGTATAGAATTTTTACATATTATTTGTTTTTTATTGCTAAAAGATATTTTAGTAAGTTAATATTTTATAAAATAATGTTAAACTTAAGTATAAGCATTTTATAAATATCTTTGAAATATTTTGTGTGTATATTATAGATTGTTAATATTTAAAATTTTTAATTTAAACATGTCATGTTTCAGTATATTTAAGAACTTTACCAGAAGTAGTGTATAAAAGAATGCAACGTCGTAATCGCCCTGAAGAGCGTACAGTTGAACTTGAATACTTAGTTGATTTACACAAATATCATGAAAAATGGCTGATGGAAAAAACATGTAATCTATCTGTTCCATTATTGGTTATTGATGTTAACAATGATTTATCAGACAATCAGCTGGTAGACTTATATAAAACTTATGAAAAAAATATATTAGGTAATCTACCAGTTCTTTGTTCTTGAATAAATTATATATTAATACATTTAGTTATATTTATATCAAACCTAATTTTTGGATATTGTATCTTGGTTATGAAATTTATCAACTCTGTGAAATTTATCTAAAGAAAATAAAGTATTTAAAAAAATAAAAAAAAAAACAAAAAATAATCAACATTATTAATTTAAATTTGTTAATTAATACTCCGTATCATGTGTTAAAAACCTAAAGCTTAATTTTTTTTTTTATGTTCAAATCGACTTTGAATCATTGTCTCATCTTCTGATAATCCACCTTTTCTGGTTAATAACCCAGTATTTACAGTATACATGCACATACAACAAGATGGTAATTTAAAACTATCATAATATATTTCATTTGTTTCTTTTATGGCCATCAATTTCTTATACGTGTATTTTTGTACACAAGTTGTTATGTAGCCCTGTGGCAAATGATCCCCAAATTTACATGTTTTATCAGCATTTCTAGACAAATAATGAGGTAATTTTTATTTCTTAGTTAAATATTTATATTTTTTATACTTACACACATTTTTCCACTCTGATTCCTTGTCTATAGTTACTATCATCATTTTTATCTTGAATGATAAAACGCCAATCTGAATCTTTATTTTCACTTGCTTCTGGAAATATTATTTCCTCCTAGAAATTTTTTTTATTAAAATTAAATAATATTGAGTTCTTAACAACTTATACGTGTAAGAATATGATGATAAATAGAACATATGTCCATTACTAGTTTTATTGATAACTCGTACTCAATTTTTAATTTCATTTTAAAACCTCAACTATCTATTACATTCAAAACTACTGTTATTAGATGAAAAGAATACACTGTTCAAAAATTTTTATGTTGCACATGACATTTTGCATTATTGCAATTTTAATTTCAAATTCAATTAATTTTTTTAATTATTAAAATTGCCCCTAAAATTTTATAAAACCTTTTTGTGTTATTTTATATTTTGATGTATTATATTTTATGACAACAGCCTTATTATGATTCTCTAAATATAGGCATAATCACAAATTAGTTAAGAATAAAGGAATAATTATTTTATTATATATCGTCTTTATCTTACTAACAAAAAATAACAAATTAGTGTTCAGTTGAATTATTTTTGTGTTTTTAAATTACATAATATATATTATTAGATAACAGGAACTTATCATTGATTCATATCTATTTATTTTTGGTTCATTGTTTTTCCTAGAGAAAAAAATATAAAATAATAGTTATTAAATCATTTGTTAAAAATTATTTATGTTAATTGTAATGTATATATATATTCTTGAATTACTAAATTTCTGAATTATCTAATATCTATTTTGAATAGAAATATAATGAGACTACCAATTTTGAGAACTTATAAGTATTGAACAAATATTCCTAAAATTTACATCCATTAATGATTATTTTCTGTGTCTGTGCTAACTGAAGTCAAAGAAACTTCTAAAATCATAATTTTTCAATCTTAGTAAATTCTCAAATTGAAAAAAATTTGAAAAATATTGAATTTTTTAAATTAAGGTTTTATAATTATAGATTTTATTAGGTAAATCAATATTTAGTTAAATACTTAAAAGATTTTGTAAAATAGAAAATATGAAATTTATTTACAAGGATGACTTTTTTTAATTGTAATCTTAAATTATGTACCTACACAAAATAAGAATGTTTTTTTATATTTAAAAATTGAACAAAAGTGACTCAATGTTTTTCAATAATTATGACTTTTATATATTTTTCAATTGAAAATCTTATTCATTATATTTTGAAGACTTAACAGTAGCTTAATAAATGATTACAAACATATGTGTTATAACCCAGTGAGGTTTTACAACATTGACACATACATTATAATATCATTATTCATTGATTTATAACAAAACGACAACTAACATTTTTTTTTTACTTATATATAACTTATGGATAAAATTTAATTATATAATAAAAAAATTATTTTTTTTATGACACGGTTTAAATAAGTTCTAAGAAATATTGTATGTATATATGTATAAATATATAATGATTAATAAATATTTTATATTTAATCCTATATAGCAGTGTTAGCCAACTTATATAGACTTATGATCAACTTCTAAGTCTTTTTAGGTTGTCGCAATCAACCAAAAAAGAGTTTTATTGAACAAAAATATATTGTGTATATATATACATGTTATACTTTCTTTATTTTTTCAGTTTGAAATATTAATAGATAATCATAATTTTACAATTTTTCATAGCACCTATTTCAGTACCTGTATTTTATCAATTTAAACGAATGTGATAAATACTGTTATTTAATATGGATTATCCATTAGATTATGTACAATATACCTATATAGCTATAGATCTCAGTATATAATTTTGTTTTTCATAGTTATTTATTACTATGTTTTTAACTTTTATTAATTTAATTTTTATATTCATGGGCTGAACAATGATACAAACATTTACACAAAAATAAAATAAATATTTTAATTGAATCGCTTATTACAGAAACCCCGTAAGAGACAAAAATTTCGAAACATATTATTTTCCACTTGTTTGTATTTTTTGTATTACATGACATTACTTAGGGGTTTCTGCTCCAAACAAAAATTTCAAAGACGCGAATTGGCCACGTAAATAAGATGGGGCTTCTGCAAAAATCGATGTGTCTACTAAAAAGATATAAGCAAGTGGAAAATAATATGTTTCGAAATTTTTGTCTCTTACGGGGTTTCTGTAATAAGCGATTCAATTGTTTTCTAATAAAATGAAAAGGAGTTGCGATCGACTATCACTTCTGTTATATAGTAAGTATTACCTATTAAACACATGAATATTTGTTTAGTTTTACAGTTAGCAATAATATTTTTTTACTGAATTCTATTTAGTGACATTTGTTGATACTCACTTTAGATTCACAGAATGGCTGAAGGTTATCAAAAGAAAATCTTGTCTCTATATCATTTATCTACAACATAAATATTTTATATTATATTAACATTAATCATTTTTATACTATTAAAACTTATAGGAAGTTCAGTTTCCAATAAATTAAGATTATTTACTAAATAATTGTTTTATAATAATTATATTATACTTCACTCACAGTATCTACACCAAAAAAGGTAGACGACATAAACTTGCTGGTTCTTAGAATACGTAGCACATCATGCCTAATAATAAATTTAATAAATTATCAATTTTAGATGTAGAACATTTTATTTATTTTTAATGCATGATTTGATTTACCTAGGATAATTATCAACTTCTGCGCAAAAACTTTCGTTCTTTGAACACTTTTCAATCTCATGATGATCTGGTATAAGTTTTTTGATTGAAATTCCAGAGCCTTTCCTTATATCGATGTTACTTGGAAATGTAATTATTGATGACGGTTTATTTGGAGGTAATTTTTTATTGTTATTAAATTGTATGTTACTGTTATTGGTTGAATATTCTTTTTTCAACTCATAACTTGTTCGGTTCGACATGAATACAGTGCTTGAATTTGTGTTTTTAATATTCGCTCGATGTCCAATACTAAACATGTAATATACAAACATAATTTATAGATTTAAATTAGTTTTATTATACATCGGTAGCAATGCGACAAGGATCAATATTCAATATGAGACAAGTGTTTAAACTAAATCTAGTCCGAGTATATCTACAGGTGCTGAACTTTTATTGTTTCTGGGTTAGGAACTTATTTCATTAATATACTTGTATATTTTTGTCATCTCATATTTCTCATGCCTATATAATGGGTATAGCTAATGGAGTTTTGTACTTATTTATGGAGTTTCAGTTAAAAGTAATAAATTAAATAAAAGTTATCATGGAATCATGTGCTGTACCCAGTAGTGCCAAACACGTACTCCAGGTAGTTCAATTAAATTGCCTAGAAAATTTAAATTAAAAAAAAAAAAAGATCAAAATATTAAATTAATTATTTTACATATAACTTGGAAAATGTTTTCTATTCAAAATAGTATTATTATTTATAGATGCTTAAAAAAAAAAATGTTTGGATATTTAAAAGGGTGATACATTGGAAGAGGTGGGTAAACTAATTTAATTACTTGAATTGGCAGTTTTAATTTCATTCGGTGCCACTGGCTGCACCTATGAAAATAATGCTTCATCCACTTTGGCTATTTATACTTATTATTTTTCATTTTGGTAATTTAGAACAAAATCTATTAAGGAAAAGTACGTTTTAGATTAATTACGCGATCTTTCTGTTTTCATACCTATAATTATTTTTCAGAGAATGAATTAATCGTAAACTATTGTTCTGATGTCACCAAAAAATTTCCCATAATTTTTACAATACATTACTTAAGTTTCGCAGTAAGTTCAGTGTCGGAATTAGAAATTTAGCCGTCCTTTGCCAATTTATAAAAATACCGCCCTAATACAGCTATTTTTTATTCATGCATAAATAATTTAGGAATTTCACAACAGTTATATAAATATTCAGGTATCATGTAACTTAACAAGTTGTAATTATCTTAATCATTATGAGATGACTTAGAAATAATTTGAATAATTAATGGGAAATAATTAAAAAAAATTACTATACACATGAGTATGAACCATGATTTGTTTTGTTGATGTATGTTTGGTGCAAAAATAATATATATTGTGTGAATTAGTATATCATCTCAGTTATACGCTCATAATTATATTAAAAAATAGAAATGAAAGTTACTTAGAGTTTATTTATATAATTTTTATTAGTATTATAAAAATAGTAATTCTAACTATTATTGAAACACTTTTCTTGCCTTGAAATTTGTGAAATCTTTGATATTTTATGTTTGTTTGTTTATAATGCAGTGAAAAACTATAAATTTAAAGTCTTAAAAATTATAAGTATTGAGAATAATCATCCTGTGCGAATGCGCAGTCCACATATGTCTTATACCAGTCCTGAATAAGTTAGCTACTTAACCACATATACCACTCATTGGCGTAGCTAGGATTTTTGCAAGGGGGTTGTTAATTATACCATAAACACATTAAATATTATACATAATGCGTATAATGTATAACTTTTAATTTAATTAATTAATATGTATTCATTACCCCAGTATATGGTCAATAGTTATTTATAACAAAAATAATAAATTATAAAATTAAATCAGTCATTTTTGAAAGATATTTCAAACGATATTTATAACAATATTACCTCTCAACTGTTACTTTGACTTCGCGTGATTATTTAATGATTCTAATTAATTAAGTCTTAACTGGCCAACATAATTTCTAAGATACGTTTGTACCTATTTGTTTTAATGTCGAACAACTTGTTTCTGGTTAACACGATGTAACAGATAATATGTTGCAAATATTTGAAAGAGCTTAGAAATATTTTAAAACAGGTCTTTAATACACAATTCAAGAGCGTCAAAAACACTTTGCATCAGTGGTTCCCAACCTTATTGCTTGGTGTAGCAGCCCTACACCTAAAAATAAGAGGGTGAGTGGGTACTATTTAAATAACATAAGTTAAAATAATAAACTTGAGACATATTAATGATTATATTGTTAAAATTAACAATGATAATATTGTGTTATTATTTCTATTATTTCTGTGCTATTATTCGTTTCATATAAATAATAACTATAATATTAACAAATAAAGAAACAAAAAAATAAAATTTAATTTATTATTATTAATTCATTTTTCGGGGTTAGGGAGCTTAAGATTTTCAAATTTTCCACATCTTCCAAGGGATCTTACATTCCAGGTACCAATTATTTTGTACTTCCACTTTGCATCTCTCAAGGTAGTCTCCACCCAGACATCCGAATGGGAGACTATTTTTCGTCCGGAATTTTTTACGTTGAGTTGATAATTCATTCTGCTAATGTTAAGGATGTTAATGTGATGGGTTTCCCGTTTCACATCGAAGTACTGTAGTCATGGAGATGTCTTCCATCGTCACCTACAGCTATTTGGTATGCAGCTGTAGGTCCGTTTGGCCTTCATCTGCATCCAATATTGGATAAACTGCTGCCCTCATCCAATCCCTTTTACACGCATCTTACGGTCAGCAAATTAGGTGTGACTAACCTAACAGGTGATCGTTTGGTTACGTTTATAAATTATTATAGTTTATTAATATACGTTTTTTTGCTATTTGTTAGTAATTTAATGTTTTTATGGGATATTATAGTACATATTTTAATACTTTTTAGCGCTATAAAATCTGAGCTCTGGTCATGACTGTTAATATATAAAATATCTACGAGCGAAGAGCCGTATTTTGAAATGTTACGTCGAATGAAAAATCAATGCAATATTGTGATTGTTAAGTATTTGCGTAATGAATCAATATGAATGATGACTAATTAGTATGTAGATTTTTTTACAACTCATTTCTATTAAATTATAAGGAGAAAAATAATTTATTATTTTTCAAACAAATTTTCTTCAGACAATTATTTATAAACGAATAAACATTTAACATATTTTGTTACCTTTTATTTTGGATAGAATATGAATTGTATACTGATAATCAACAATTAAAAATGACAATATAAATTTTAAATTTTGTCTAGGCTTGTATATTTGATGACACGGATTTTGTTTCAGAAAAACAAGAAATTATGATTTACAAAGGGTATTATAAAAAATAAAATATATTATTATATTTATACATATGACATTTTTTTTCAATAATTTTAATATATTCATTGTAGTAATTAGAATTACAAATTATTTCTAATTTGTATAATTTTGTAATGATTTTAAAGTACGATTTGGTTTACGGCGAGGGGGTCAATGCCATTACAATTTTATTAAGGTTAAAATAGGTAGGTATAAGTATTTGTATTACCGTGTTATCACTTAAACATAATATTCTAGTGACTAGAATCTAGTTTATGGTTATAAACTTTAATAATATTATATCTATAATTTGTGTATGACGGATCGATCTTACTTTTTCTAACTATGAAATTAGAAACCTCAAACTTATTGAAAATTAAATTTTTTGAATCTGTAAACAATGATGCTTGAAATAAACTTATATGATACTAGATAAAATACATCAAGTTATATAAAACTGCCCCACAACTTATTTTCGTCTAATGAAAATGGTGACTAAAGCAACTAATATATGTATAAACAATTTTACAATTAGGCGTTACCATTATAAATACAGAGTACTGTTTACATTATTACAAATCACACATCATTAAATTTTATGATGCTGGAATTTGAAAAAAATAATTCAAAATTCCAACCCCCTCTATTTGTGCCTATGACGTTATTTATTTTAAATTAACTCTCAAAACGTTCTAGATTTCAACAATACGTCAATATCTATTGTATCTAGTGTCTTTCTAAATAATCGTAACATAAATTATACATTTATACCTAGGTATTGCTAACTATAACAATTCATAATATTTTATATTTTTATAATAAGCATTTTATTTTGTGGATCTATCATGTTTGTTATATATAGCTGTAATAATTTTATTTACTCACCATAAATGTTTTTTGAAATTATTATTTCATGTAACATTGATATAGCGTTATTTACATTACCAATTTGTTTCTTAAGTTTAGAGCATTAACTATTTTGATAATGCCTAAACGTTTAAAGCATATAAGTTATACCTAATAACATTGTAAATAGTTTAAAAGAACAATTCAGTCAAAAACAGACAATATATTTTTATTCTTTAATGACTTTGGTCTTCGTTTACAAATCGAATAAGATATTGTTGTAAACTTTTTGAAATTATAAAAATGCATTTCGTGTCTTTTAAATGCATGTCTGTTGTCCAATGAGGTTATTTTGAACCATTCATTTTTGCCGTAATTGATAATGTTTACTTCTTTGAATGACTTCCAAGAAAAGAGAATACTATCCGTTTTAGAATTTTGGTATACTTAAACATAATTAGCTCCCATTGGCGTAAGTCGTTCTACATAATATATTTAATATATCCATCTTATTGGGTCTTATCATCGAAAAAATTATGTTAATGCCTTCGAGTAAAATGAAAGAAGGTTTTTTAAAGAAAATATAGTTATTTAAAATTACACAATTAGCGAAGAATAATGGGTTGCAATAAATACTTTCAGGAAAGAAAATAAAAAATAAATAACATCTAAAACTTTGTAGAATAATTAATGCCCTAATTATTTTGAGAAAGCAAATCCCTTTAAAATAGATGGAAATAATTTTGAAAAAAATGTAGTTTTTTTCATGTTTACTTAAAATTTTTTAGATAATTTCATTTTTATTGTATAGCCTAATGGGCATTTTAAATATTTTCAGTAATAAATAGAATTGAAGTCTTATAATATTGGACACTAACAATTTTACTATACAAGTCTTAAAATTTAAACAACTAAAAAGTTAATTTAAAATTTTATTATTTTCTGATAAATCAAACAATCAATTAAAAATAGATATGTTAATATTTTTATCTTAATTTACAAAATATTAAACATCAGTAACAGGAGCATAATTTTAACATTTTGAAAGGTATACTAACAATTAGGCAGGCAAAAAAAATAAATAAAATATAGCAAATGCTTAGTGATGAAATTTTTAGTTCGATTAGTGTTTCATATTAATCAGTGCTTGACTTGAGGGGGGGACGCAGGGGGACGGAGTACCCCAACTAATTTTCAGAAATGTTAGCGTCCCCCTACTATTATTACGTTATAAATATAACGCTTAACAAGTCTTGGGGACTATTTTTTTTAAACTAAACAGAGTCTACCTTCTTTATTTTTGCCAAATCAAGCACTGATATTAATAATATAATATAATGTTTAAAAACTTAAATCATCAATCAACTAACCTTTGATATTCCATAAATCTTGGAGTCGTATTTAGAGCTGTGTCCTCTGAAGTATATTTTTGTGTCATTGAATTAGTTTTTTGGACCTATACAATTAATTAATTAATTATAATCTTATTAACCTAATATTTACAACTTTTTTATAAATTATTTTTTTAAATTTATAAATTTAACTATTATAATTTTAAAGCAAAATTAAAAATGATTTTATCAAAAAAATCTAAATTGTGTATTTACTAATCAATGAGTAGATTTAAATATAATTTTTTTTAATTTTATTTCCGTACCAATATCTCATTCTGAAAGGAGTGACTAAGTAGTGAATGTATTGGTCTACCAAGAGGTAAAAAGTTCCCTACTTAATGGACTCAGTAGAATATAACCATGTATCTAACTTACGAGTAGTATAAAATAATATGTTATTTGCAAAAATCTAATACCCTACCAAAATATAATCGACAATTATAGAATTATTGATTTATTTGATTATATATAAGTGTAATATTATACTCACTATTTCATCAGCTATTTTGGAAATAGAATTTAAATTTCATAAAGAGAATGTATGGACATAATTTACATCAAAATTGAATCGCACATTTGTTTTAAAAAACTAGAATGTTATGTCATGTTATGTCATGTAATGTCACTATATGTATACGCGTAATCACAATTTCTAATTTAGGAACAACATTCATAGCATACATAATTTTGAATAGAAACTACGTGTGTATACATTTTGTTAGATATTCAATTATATTCTAAAAACAATAATTGTGGTATAATTAAAATAAAGACTAACGTACTACCGTACGTTACCTATTATAATTACTCATCATGTTTCATAAATCGTATATTCAAATTTTAAATAAAAATTTCTGCATTAATGCATCAACATGTAACTGATATTTTATATGATGGACCGACCATTGTTTTTACATAAGAAATGTACTAACTTTTCGCAGTAAATATCGGACGTAGGTTTAATTCCGTACAAGTGAAAAATAGTAAGATAATACGCATACAAAAATAAATTTTAATATTTTTGGCTGAAATTATCGATAGTTTAAATATATAGGTAAATATACAGGTATATTTATGTATATTATATGGTCACATAGGATATCATAGTGATTATCAAATATTATTATAATAACATATAGTTATAATAAATAGACTATGGTATTATTTACAAAAATGTTTTTTGATGAAATTTATTTTTAATCCTATCATAATCTAAACAAATATTGTCATGTATTAATTTGTATTTTCATAAAACTTTACAAAAAAATTTCATTCATATTATTTTAGAAAATTATTTAAGATTTTTAAAATATTATAAATACTAATAACTTTATACGACTTCTACGTAAAAATTATATTGACTATTATAATGGCATACATTCATTTTTAAATGGTATTTAAATTTAATGTGTTAGAATTAACTAACCGTATTTTGAAGGTGTTTTTTTCTAATTGTTATGATGTTTTTGAGATAGTCTAATTGCGAATAAAAAAAAAACAGCTAATTTTTAAAAATAAATAAATATTCATACTAAATAAATATATAATCCATTAAGGTTTTAAATTAAATTACTTAATGAGCGCTTTAATTTTTTCTGATTTTAACTTAAAATAGTAATATATATAGTATATATATATATATATATATATTTACACATTAATATATTACATATAAACATATTAATATATTTATATACATATAAATATTACTGTACAATGTCGTAGTGAGTGAAATGAGTCGAGCCTTTTATATACAAATCGATTTCTTCTATTTTAATTAAATTCCGTTATTTTCGTTAATTATTTAATTGAATTTTTAGTTGGAAGTCAGTAAATTACATGGATTTCGATGTATTTATATTCGTAATAAGTTGATTAAATTATATCATACATATTAATTACAAATATAAGATTTTATTTAACTTTAAATTTACTGTTTTACTTGTATGAATAATCAAATTTTAATAATTTTATGAATTAACTATTAAGAAATAAGTGTATACATTTTAGTGCCATCATAAAAATATATTATATAGTTATTAGCATATTATTATGATTTATTGATAAATTACAATCTTATTAACATAAATACTTTGTAAATAGTATTTATTATTATTATAAGTATTTAATATATTTATAATATTTCTAAACTTATAATACTTAAATGTTTTGTGTAGGTAGGTACTGTGATTGATAATAAAAATTTAAAATATGATTTTTAAATTATTTAAATCAACTAATAACTACTTATATAAATGATTTAAAACACGAATAAATAAGACAAGTTTTAATTAACATTCATACCACACATATGCGTGTATTTTATATAGGTTGAATACACGATTTTAAAAAAAAAAATTTACTTTTCACGGTATAATATTAATTTATATTAAATATTTATATACTACCTATTTATATCATAAAATGTATAAATATTTAAGCAATAAAATTATTTAATACTTGTTATTTATTTACGAAAATATTTTATTACCATACTAATGAGAGCCAACATAATCATCAGCCACGGCAATTTGATCATTTTGACAGGCTTTTCAAATCCACGTCAAGTGTATGTAAATATATTATATATGTACGTGTGTATGCGTAGTGTATAATTATCAATGTATTCAATTAAATATTTCATACATTTTATGTTCAATGTATTTTTAAATCGTGACGTACGATTAATCGCTTAAAGATTTATTCAAAAACACAACCGGTCAACTCGAGTTATATTTTAGCACTGGTCAATAGACTACTGGGCTAGTTGGTATGAGTATTATATGTTTATCACGTACCGGTTTTGCCTACCTTACGCCATTGTACATTATCAGATCAATTATAGAATGCTTGAAAACATAATTATTATAATGTTATTCTGTGTATATATATATATATAAAGAACTAATTATATACTGATACATTTTATACATATAGATGTATATTTACATATTTACAAACACATACACACCGCGCTTGGATGCACATACGTAAGATGCATACATGTAAAATTAGTGAGTACCTACACATAAATTCAGTCTAGGAAAATCAACAAATTCATAGATTTAAGGAATTAATATTCACTCTCGTTTGTCTATTAATAATTATTTCAATATAATACTTATAGGCTAATATTATAGTACGAATTCCTAAATTCTAAAGGAATAAAAGGTACCTAGAGTAATTTTCATATATTATGCAATTATTCAGTATTTCAATGTTTAATTGTATTTATTTTGCGATTGAAATGTTTTGCATCAAATCATATTTTAATTAGGTATACAACCATGTAAGGACATATCTGGGTATGTACGCAACGATCAAGGAACTTGTAGAGGGGGTGGCACTTGTATTGAAATATAATTTTATTTTAATATTTTCAAATATTAGGTACCTTCGCAAAACATTTATCGTTAATCTGTTAATCTATTACACGTGTCATGAAATATGATTTTTGTTCTTATACTACTTGAATTTCAATAAATAAATGTTTAGTATCCTGGTAAGTAGTAATATATTACAAATTATATTTCCATATATAAATTATTGGTAGTTTATTATGAACGATAATTTTATTTGTAAGCACCAAAATTATTTTTTTTTAAATTATTTTCTTAAAATAAAATAAGATAAAAATAAATACACCATGGTCTTTTTTTTTTTTTTTTTTTTTTTTTTTAATTTGCCTTTGTTCGCACATTACAGCAAGCACCATGGTCTTATTGTACTAATATTAGATAATATTTACATTATACATTGTATTAAAATGCTCAATGTTTATGTTAAAAACTTCTATTATGATTCATACATTTAATATTTATAAAAAATATATAATAAATCACTTTTCATGATAAATATTAATTATTACAAAGAATCAGTGACGATATCAGGGAGGGGCCAAGTAGGACCATGTCTCTACTTGAAAATGCTCGGCCCTTTCATTGGCCCTATTACTAAAAACTGGTATGATCTTGAATATAATAATACAGACATTTTTACTATAAATTATAATAGATCCCAGTAGAAATACGTAAGTACATAATTAAGAATAATAGATATACTAGGTACTGCAAAATTATATAATGATATTATTAGTAATATATTAAGCCACTCTGTTGGTTTTTCAAACTATAGATAAAATTAAAGTGATCAAATTTTATACTACCATTTTCTAAAGATGTAGATTACCTAATTTTGAACAATAATTATAGGTAATTGAAAAGTTCGATATTTATAAATTATTTATGACATTTTTAAAATTACATGACTTTTCTAATATTTCTAAACATTTTCAGCGTTATGTTTTAGGAACATTTTTAACATTTTTTTTTTTACCAAAAGGTATTATTAAAGGCTGAAAAAAAA